AGCGCGCTGGGAAGGACTGTTCACGGCGGCCTAGGGAGGGGGGAACGGAACAGCAGCTCCTGCCCCTGCGTCCTACCCAACACCCAGAACATACAGAGCACAAGAGAGACTCGGCCCCATTGCTTGGTCCTGTCACTGAGGAGATCACAGCCTAGCGAGAGCGTGCCAGTAAACAGGCAGTTCGAATTCTATGAGATGGACGCTGTGAACCCTGGGCCTATTAATTTAAGTGGAACAGACTCTCCAGTTATTTGTTAAATTAGCCTAGCGTAGCCATAAGCCTTTAATTGTTCCGTCGTGCGCGTGAGAGAAGAGCAAAGTGCCAATGCTTGTTTTTCTGACTGACGGAAAGTTTTACAAATAGGGGGTCTCTTGGGGAAACAGAGATACCAATGACAACATTATAACCAGAGAAATAAACTGTCAAGTAAGACAACAAATCAAACTGTGAGGGGACAGGTTTTGGGGGTTATGTTCCCTGTTCATGGCAATGATTTCTGCAGGCTTGGGAGCCTGGTCACAGACTCCTCTGCTCAAAAATTCTTCAAAAGACATTTCTTTTCACAGAGAACATGCCCATTTGGTTACTGTTATGCAATGTGGATGTGTGAATATTCATAAAGATGGAATAGACTTGTGAAAGTTCTCCATTTAGGACCTTACGAAATCAAGTTCTTTTAACTACTTTTATGGAGGCAGGATGACTCTCCTTCCTCCACAGCTGCAAGGGAGCAGTGACATTTCATTTCTTTTTTTAGATGTCTTTTGTTAATTATGAAACTTGCAGTTTTTAGGCCAGGCTCCAGCCTAAAATTTCATTTCTTGAGTTTCATTTGATTTCACTGTCAGCAACCAAGAAAGAGCTACAGAGGGTTTTTCTTAATAATAGTCAAATAAGGCGTATACAGTAGGTTTCTTTATGGGCCTACGCGGGCCCACCAGGATGAAGGGGGGTGTTCTTATGAGGGCCTGACAAGCTGGCCAACAGACCCTTCCTGCCCCGAAGCATCCTCTGGTGGTTTTGGGGACAGGGGTGTGCAGATTCTTCTAAGGTGTCCTGCCTCAGCTGGGAGGATGAGGAAGATGTGGTCGGCTGCTGGCAGGCAAATCCGACAAGCAGGCACATGACAGGCAACGTGAAGACTAGTGGACCCATGAACTGTCATAGCCTTGGAGTTCAAACATCAGTCCTCAGGGCATCCCCTTCTCTCGTGTGCTGGCGACTCCCTAGGCTTCCTGGTTCCAGCTCAGGTGGAATGTCTGTGAGGGGCTGGGGCATGAGCAGAGGGTTCCCGACATTAGTCTTTCTCCCTCAGGCTGCCTACAAGAGCTGAACCCCACCACCAGCTTTGGGGACCCAGGAAGTTCTGAGTTCAAGGTGAAAGAGTCAAAGTGCCCTGGGCAAGGGCCCTCTTGGATTGGGAAGAGCAGGGGTGGGGTCTGCCTGGGAGGAGCCTACTGGGGGGAGGTGGTCCTACCTCCTATAGCCAGGGGGAAGAAGGGACCGCCACTGAAGTACCTTTTACACAACATAAAATAAGTTTAATGAATTCAGGAATCAGGCGAGGGCTGTAATGGAAGTGAGGCCCACTAGGACAGCCACTGAGGTCTCCAGGGTCCCTTGGGGGAAGTGGGCCTGGCACGGGGATTCCCTCACAAGCCTGGGCCCAAATGCTCTTGCTTCCCAGAACCTGGCCCAGAGGGCAGAGAGGAGACAAGCAGGACCCACAACCCAGAGGCCCTGTCAACAGCCATCCGTGAATGTAGGCGGTCGAAAGCTCACTCAGGGAGCCCCAAGGCTCTGGGGCCTGCCCTCCCGGGGCCTGCCAGAACCCCAGGTTCCCCTAGAGGGGCTGGGCTGGAGCCTGGGCCGGGAGAGAGCAGAACTTCAGAAACTGCTGAGGATCGAGATTCCTCAGAGGCAGAGAGAGGGGGACCCTCAGGAGCAGAAAGAAGAGAGCCCCCAGGGTCAGAGAGGGGAAGCCCCCCGGGGGGAGAGCAAAGAAGTTCCTTCCAGACACAGAGAGAAGACACACCAGGGTCAGAGTGCAGAGGCCACTCAGGCTCTGAGGGAGGAGGTCTCTGAGTATCCCAGGTGTGAGGCTCCCCAGAGTGAGAGGAGAGAGTCTCCTCAAGGTCAAAGAGGAAATAGCCCTAAGTGTCAGAGAACGGAGGTTCTCCAGGAGCCACAAGACCCGGAAATGAAGACCCTTCAGACTTCCCCAGGCCCTAACCGGGAGGTGGCTGAGGGAGAGGTGCCTACACAACCCCCGGAGGAAGGCGGCTCCCTGGGAATTTCTAGGGTTCTCTGTAGGTCCCTGGGAGAACAGATGCCACAGCAAAGGGGTAGGGAGAGCCCTGGCTCCGGGGAAAGGGCCGCCCAGCGGCGAGAGTCAGCACCGGGCGCGGGAGAGCAGAGGGCCTCCGGGGAGCGGGTACGGACTCCCCTTCCACCCCCGAGGCCCCCGACCCGGCCGCTGCTCCCAAGCCCAGGGGCCGAGACGCTAGAGGCCCCAAGCACTGGGAGCTCGGGGCAGCAGGAGCGCCCCGCAGCTCCCCGGGGG